AGATACAGATACAGATACAGATACAGGCAAATACAAATACAAATACAAATACAGGCAAATACAAATACAGATACAGATACAAATACAGATACAGATACAAATACAGGCAAATACAAATACAGATACAGATACAGGCAAATACAAATACAAATACAGGCAAATACAAATACAGGCAAATACAAATACAAATACAGGCAAATACAAATACAGATACAGATACAGATACAGATACAGATACAGATACAGATACAGATACAGATACAGATACAGGCAGATGTTAGCGGGCTCCTCTGCTCTGTGAAAAGCCCTCAGTTGCCAGTTCACCGATAAATATGATATCCATAATTAGGGTATCATCTGGCAATTCTGGTCGGGTTTGCATGAACAGAGGAGTTCACCGGCAGGCACAGAAGCTGCTCTTACTTCCTGTTTCCATTGGAAAACAGCTGCTTTCTAGGAACCATGTAGAGGGTTTTATAATAATCTATAAATATAGTATGTGGTTTCTCCAGCTTGCAGACATACTAATTAGGAGCTGTATCTGAGATTTTTGTCCCTGGGTGAGGGATTCAAGGCATGCGCCACCACCTCCTTGTTCACTGTAACTCTGTGTTAATCTGTGTTTTCCGTTGCTGCAACAAATCATATCCCCGTAAATTCATGGCTCTCTTAACCACATATGGCTTTAATTTTCCTATTTGTCCTTCTGGTTCTATACACTTGACCCATCTTGCACTTTGTTTTCCCTGAGATAAAGTTCTGATCCCTAGAAGCTGAGTATTTATCTCCTGAAGACACCAATCTGGTTGTCAAGATTTTGGTGACATTATTATTATCATGTGTCTACTAAACCTTCAATTTCAATGCCATTTCTGTGTATTTTTAGCTTTGATCTGTGATGGTTTATAGCATTTGCCAAAATACTTGCTGTCTGGTCTCTCCTGATTTTTTGTGTTTTATTTACTGAAGCTGTTCTAACCTTGATTCCATCCAGAGCAGTGTTGTCTTTAACAATGGGGATTAAATCTTTTAATTGTTCTGTGGATGAGGTTCTCTGACACTGACGTGGAATGATTGAACCAAATAAGATATTGGGCCCTTTGGTAGGTGTCATAGGGTATCCCCAATGGCAAAGGGTTTCCCTGCCTGTCCCTTGTTGATCTGCAGTCATTAGTCCAGTGCTGGCCTCTGCCACCCTACTGCAAACTCCAGAACCCTGGGGTCTTCTTTTTGGATTATCTTTAGAAAAAAAACATTATTTCTGGAAAGACCTTGCCTATAATCCTTTCTCAGATGATCTTGCTTTCCACAATTAAAATCTGTCATTTTGATTTTTCTTAAAACTTTTGGAAATTACTTTTCCTGTCAGAGTGGCCTCATAACCTGAGATCTAATCCATTCTTCTATTGGTGCTGATCTTGCCTTTAAATGTCTAATCACCCTTTTGCATTCTGCATTAGCATTTCCAAAAGCCAAAGATTTGAATTGGATACAATTTTATTTATGGCCGAAGTCAGGCTTTGCAAAAAATTAGTGAAGACTTTTTTTGGGCTTTGTATAATTTTAGTAAATGACTCAGACCTCTTTGCTGATTCTTCAACCTTATCCCAAGCATTTAAAGCTTCTAAATGACATAGCACCAAGGTGTCTTCGTCAGATTCGAGCTGCCTTTGTAACTCAGCATATTGACTCTCACCTGGGAACTGCCCCGGGAAA